CCACCATAGTGATGAGAATATAGCCCTTTGTGTGGCTAGAACAGCAAGGGGTGAGGAGGAGGAACACAGGCAGCTTCTCTGGGAGGTCCAAAGTCCCAGTGACAAGCAGAGCAAATTTCCTGAGATCAGGGGAGATGCAGAGGATACCTCACCGGCTACCGAAAACATTGGGCAGCCTCTTCCTTAGAGACATCAGTGCTATTGTTTCTGCTCATTTCTTCTTCCATGTTTACCTCACTCACACATTTATTTGTTCAGTCAACATTCATTAAGCACCTGCTATGTGACAGTACCCCTATATGACAGACCATGGATTTAGTGTAGGTTCAAGGGTGTTCACCTGATAATATGCTTCTGTAAGTTGCAAAAGGAAAGTATTATAATGGCAGGTCTCTAAGACCTGTTGTTTTTCAGTCCAAGTCTCCTTCTTCCTCTTTTGCCTTTACATATGTTGGAAGTTGAACTGAAGTTGGGGTTTTGTGTGCTATGTTCACATGATTCACAGTCACTTGCCATGTGAAATTCCATCATTGCTAGCCATCTTCAGTGTAGCTGTGACTACCACAAATAAAGCTACTGCTCACTCTAATGATTTGGATATGGGTTATACTCCCCACCCCCACCAAAAAAACCAAAACAAAACAAAAAAACTCATTAGACAGTGTACAAATGTCCAAAAGTGAAATGATCAGATCTTGAGAGCTTTCTCTTAACCAGTGGATTAATTCTCTTGATGGATTAATAATTTGAATAGATTACTGCGTGGTAACTATAGGCCGGTAGGGTATGGTTAGTGGAAGTATGTCACCGGGGGCATCTCTTGGGAAATATACATCTTGTTCTTAGTTCCTGGTGTTCTTTCTCTGCTTCCTGGCTGTCCTGAGCTGACGGCTTTCCTCTACCACGTCCTTCCACCAAGATGTTCCATCATTACTCAGGCCCGAGTAATAGAGTTGGTGAACCATGGACTGAACCTTTGAAACCACAACCCCCCCCCCAAAACTTTTCCTCTTCTCAGCTGTTCTTGTCAGGTACCTCATTCACAGCAACAAAAAGTTGACTAACACACCCACTGTACCAACTTGCCCAACATCATGACCCATAGGTGTAGGACCTCTAAATGAAGACCCTGGGCAGCAGACTGCTTAAGGAGTGCTGGAAATTCAGGGTACGTAAGATTGGTACTGCCCATGGGACCGCAAAATGCCAAGAAACTTAGAGCACATAATAAGAGGAGCTTGATTGACGTTTCAAAAAACAACAGTCTAAAAATTTTATAAGACATGACCAATATGGAGTTGTGAAGCTAAAATAAACTTTTCTGAATTTTATAAAGTAAAAACCCAATTTTAACCCATCATGCTAAAAGAAAGATTGAACCATCATTCTGTTCTCTCAAAAGAAAATGATTTTACAAAAATTATTGTCAAAGAGGTGGTAGGTGAATAAACACAAGAAACGCAAGAAGAAACTTAATATGCACAATATAATTATCAGGCAATTAATAAGCACCATATAATTTTTCTGGGTTTTTAAAAAATCTTTAATTTATGATTCAGTTCCTTCTTATAAAGATGTATTCACTTTCTTAATTATCCATTAATAAATTTTGTAGTTTTTAAAGGTGACTACCCAACTTAAATAAACTTCAGGCTTCAAAACCAGGCACCCCTCAGGGGCATTGGTAGATACTGGAGATAGAACAGTCAAGACCGGCCCTCAACTCCAAGGATTTCACAGGCACTGGACCAGACTGATACAAACCAGAGGGTCACTAGGAAGCGCAGGGCCTTCACCTCTCTCCCTATTTCCAACTCATTTTTTTTTTTGTTTGTTTGGACATGACATTTTGGGAAGCTCAGTACAGCCTGGTTCCCTCCCAGAGCCTCCAGCCCCACTTCTCCCTCTCACGTTGGAGGCATTCTTGGATTCCCCTCCTGCCCACACCCAAGTCTCAGAACTTATTCTACTTCATCATGTAAAACACTTCTGACCTGTTTTTGACTGCACGAGGGAATTCTGGTTTTGTCCTCTGGGTTTTCTTGTTCATACTTATAGAGAAGTCATGAAATTATTTTTCCAAACAGAGTTCTTTCCAAAAGAGGAATTAGGACATCTGCTTCAAATAACAGTTTATTTCTTCCTCACTTCATTTATCCCAGTCTCCCTTCTTCCTTTCCCTCATTCACCCTGTGAGCGATGTTTGCCTGCGTAGCTTTGATAAAATGATTAGGAATATAAAATGTAAAAGAAATATGATTTCAAGGACTATGAGAAAAAAGCAGCTCTCTCTGATCCTGCCTATGTGTGCCGCTGGTCTGGGTCCTGTTGGAGAGATGGAGAAGAGAGACCAGGATTGAAGCCAAGCCTTATCAGACTGGGAGCTCTTCCAGGTCAAAGGTTTTGTCTTATCCTTTTCAGTATTAACCATGTTGATGGCATAGATTCAACAATACACATTAGGGAGGGAGGGAGGGAGAGAGAGAGAGAGAGAAATATGAAAGGAGGCATTTATTTGTTCTTAAATTACTTCATTTCACAAAAGAAATTCCCCCAACCTTTCCATGTCTTCATGTCAGAGGATTCTCCTATACGCTACTTCTTTCCTCAGGCTCTAAGGAAGATGTGTTTGTTCAAGATCAACCCTTTCACCTTTGCCCTGAATCCCAGATTCTCCTGAGTCTTTCAGAATTCAGCTTCAATAATCATCTTCCTGATCTCTAGTTGCAGCCTCTCTCTCAGCTCTCTATTGCCTCTTTTCTTCTCAGCCAATAACCACACTCAAGGGTCTTTGCTTCTTAGACATGCACCCCTCCCCCACAACACACCCTCCCTGACCACCACCTCTGGCCCATGTCCCTTGTAGCAGCCATGTACGAACTCACCTTTCTTCTGCATTTGTTCTCTCTGCGGCTTATTGGGCATTGATTCATATTCAGACATTAACTGACAGTCATCTGATTGAAGGTCAGTGACCAATTTCCAAATCTGTTAAGACACTTTCAGTATTGAGCTCACTGATTTCAGCAAGGTGATTTTGGTGAGCAGGGGTGTTTGTTTTACACACATTTCAAGGGAAATAAAAAATTACTCCACTTCTGACAGTCTCTCTCTCTATTACAATGACTGGACCCCTGATAGTAAACTAAATGATGTATCCAAAGAATGAAGGGGGAGAATCTGAGCGATGTTGAAGCAGGGTGTCTGAAGGAACCGGGTGTCTGAGGAGCCCCAAGGAGAAAAGACATCATGGAGACTGGAGAAGAGGGAGCCAACAGGTGCTAAGCAGCACCAAACCGTTAAATGGACCACTGAGTGGGATGTTTGAGGAGGTAAGTTTTGTCTGGTTGTGGAAAAGAACTCCATAATGAGCACAGCCACATAACGCAGGAGAATGGAGCCTCATAATGCTAGGACCCAATAGCCTAAAGGACATCTTCATGTGAATCAGCCAAAGCCTGGCCCCACAGCACCTAGGTCTCACCCACTTGCTCCCTTGGGCAGGGCACAACCTGTACTGTCTTCCAGAGCAACTCTGTAGAAGGCAATGGGATTTCAGTCACTAGAAACATTCAACTATTGACTAGGTGGTTTTATGTTTTGGTTCTGTACAGAGCATTTCTTACAATTCTGTTTATGATGATCTCATTATAGCTTTAAAACTGTGCTAGAAAGAGAGGGAAAGAGAGTCCAACAGAGAAGAAAAATGGAGTGAGCAGGAGAAAATTAGAGAGGAAGATAGATGTGGGGGAGAGAGAGAGAGAAAGGGAAGGGAGAGATTGGTTGGTTGATTATTATTTTTTTTAAAGAGAGAGTGAGAGAGAGAGAGAGTGAGAGAGAGAGAGAATTTTTTAATATTCATTTTTTAGTTTTCGGCGGACACAACATCTTTGTTTGTATGTGGTGCTGAGGATCGAACCCGGGCTGCACGCATGCCAGGCAAGTGTGCTACCACTTGATCCACATCCCCAGCCCTGATTGATTATTTTTAATATTATATTCAAATATGCCCCAGTGCAGGTGAATGACCATGTTTTACAAGTAAATGATACCTAGCTGTGTCTGCCACAGCATCCTAATTCCTATACCTTATCCTATTACTTTCCTGTCTTGTTTGATATTTGAGTCTCAGTTTTGTTCCAGGTGGTCCAAATTGGTCTATGCCAGTCGTTCTTAACCTGGCTACACAGTAGTATCTCAGTCACAATTTAAAAAATATTGGTAAAATCAGAACTTTTGGGTATGAATCTATATTTCTAAAATTTCCCAGGTAATTCTTGACAGGATTGGGCCATTTGTTTAGGCCAACCATGAACATCTCTCTCCCATTTATGAGATAGTTCACTTTTAGTGTCCTTTGCATATGCAGCAGGGCTATCAATGGAGACCTGCCAGGAGGCTTCTGGAAAAACTTCACTTTTCCAATATAAAGGGACAGGGAATGGGATTAGGATGCAGCAATCTTTGGGAAGCCATTATTCTGTTTACTACAAGTCCCAGATATTTAAAGCTTGCTAGTTGTGGACAAAAATAAATGATTTTTATATCAGAAACTTCTGTCCCCCAACAATTACTTAGCTCCCAAACCAGAAGACCCTTTCTCATCTAGAAATTCTTCCCTAGAATGGCTACAACTTACAGTCGATGCAATGTTAATAGCCCTTTTAGGAACCATTGTACAGTTACCTGGATCTTTGTCTTTCCTGTAATGGAAAAACTAGGGTTGAGTCTCTGGAGGCCCTACCCCATGTTGGAAGTAAGGCCCAATTCCAGCAGATAGTTTATAACTAGGGCTCAGAATATCATAATATGTTCTTTCACTCCCACCATTTATTTTCCAAAAGAGAGCTGGCCTATTACACACCCATTTTCCCTAGGGCTGTTATGTGAGAACTTGGTAGTGATTCCTCATTGGTTTATTACTCTCTAAAACTCAGCCAGAGGAATGACAATCGAATTATTATTGACGGAGCAAGCATATCTCACTTAGGAAGACAAGATTAATAAAACAAAGCATTCTTCTGGGGATGTTTGTTACATAGATTTTAAAGCCCAAACACATTTTTCCAAGGGGTGAAATTCATATTGTTTTATACAAGAAAATTCTTACCATAGGGTGATCTGGCTTTATCTTTTCTTTCAAACTATATCAGAAACTTGAAGCGTCTTGTTTCTCTGAAACCTTCCACACTATTTTTAGTGATAAATAAGTGTAGTGTTAGAGGTTTAAAAATTGTTCTACTTCAAAATACACAGAATTATCAATTTAAATGACAGGAACATGCTTTCAGAAATACAAATTTCTATTCAAATGCAAGATCATCAGAACATTTTATATTTGACATTCATTCTGCTGTAATATGACAATTACTATTGTCCTCATGATTGTTTGGTGGTATTTTTTCTTAAACTAATTTGAATGTTTGCTACTAATAATACTAAAATGATGCAAAAGAATGAAAGTTATCACCTTATAGCAAAAAGAGGGCTACCTTTGAAGTAGGACAGTTTTAAACTTAGATTTTCTTTCATCCAGGTACTACTATTGTCCTAGAGCAAGTTAATTTACTATCACCTGGTTTCCTTGCTTGTTAAATGGGAATACAGTTACTTACATACTAGAGTTGAGTGAGGTATACAATTATGTACCTGAAGTCCCTTGTACAATGCCTGATATATAATGTCACTGAGTAGTTTCCACGGCTAACAAAGATAAATTGTTAATAGTCTTATTCCTAATGAAGACACTGGCTTTGTTGGAAATCAGTTTCCTTATGGAGACTGAACACAAATGAAAGGCGATACAGGTCTTTTAAGGTGCTTCTGACCTTCTGATCATTTGGTCAGACAGTCTGAGTTACGGTCTTCACTTCATAAATGCAAAGTAGACTGTATAAAAGGAAAAAAATATGCTCTAGTTCATTCCCTCAAAGTATTCATCAAATGAGGTAGGATTTCTGGAAAAGATTAAGAGCTTACATTTTTCATCGGACTTAACTTCCCATAAAATTTCATAGAGGATAAAAGGCGAGGAATGCAGAAGCAGTATTCTTTCTGTTTTATCTGCTACCTGCACTAAATCTTCCTGAGGTATCATTAATTATAGTGGTGCCAGTCAAAATGCTGCTTAGACAGGCGAATTTTCACACAAAAGTCTGTGCCTGGGATTTCAAAACTGGCAGTTGAATTTTAGTATTTAGGCGAAACTGAAGGCTATCTCAGAAGAAATACCTTCAAACCAGTCATGACATGGAATGAGAATGATACATAACCAGGGACTTTGAATTGAACTAGTGATGTTTTGGTCCTTAGCACACAGCTTCAGAACAGCTCAAAGAATTCTAAAAATAGGTAGTATCTATAATTTCCAAATTAGGTGGGATCCTGAAAGATCTCTGACTTGGGCAGTGTTTATCTGAAAACATAAAGGGAGGGGGGAAACCCAAGAAACTGCTACCATTAGACTTGTTACATTGAGCTATCATATACTAAGTACTTCACCTTTTTTTTTCTTGAATGTGTGAGATGGATCATATTTATAAAAGGAAAGTGAAATTTGGAGATCTGAAACAAATTATCCCAGGTCACACGGCTGGCAAGTGGTAAAGGTGGTACTGGTCTCAAGTTGTCTTGATTTCAAGAGGTGAACTTTCACTGGACAGTTTTAGTTTTTCCAGAGGAAAGAGGTCTTGAGGTATGGAATCCCCCAAGGGAGGGGTCTTCACTCCAATCCAACACATTTGTCATTGAGCACCTTTAGCATGCTGGACAAAGAAAACTAAGATACAGTTACTGCCCACCAGGCATTTACAATCTTGTGGAAAGAGCTAGGTCAACTTACCTGAAGTATTTTTTTCTCTCATCTGTAAAGTAAAATAATTAGAGTATTTAAAAAATATTTTTTCAGCATAATTTTCCCCATGGGTATTTGGAAAAATCCCAGTGTGTAGAAAAACTGTAAAATAAGGGAGCACAGAGCATGTAGCCCACACTTTAGTCAGTGAGGAAGTTCTTAATGATTTTTCTAGTTTGATATGTTTTTTTTTACATGGCCCAGCTTACATGAAGCCTTTTATAATTGCGCTAATTTAGAATTTCCTAAATTGGATATTCAGTTAAAAAAAAAAAAACAGGAAAGGTTAAGAAGCTAGAGCGCTCCATTTGGAGAAGATATTCAACTCTAGGAGTTCTGAATGCTTTTGATAGCATAAAGTATTACCAAAGAAAGATTAATTCAGACACTAACTTTAAGCACCACCTATGAAACATGCATATTCATTTACTTTGCACAACAAGCCACCAATTAATAGCTATTAAGACTAAGGATATTTAGTATTAAAAGAAATAGGGTTAGTCCTTTCACATTCACTCATGATGGAATTACCAGATCAGAATATCCCTTCTGGTTTAAATAAATGTAAAACTAAAAAAAAAAAAAAAAAAAAAAAAAAGTAGGAAACAACTATTTTCAGTCAGTGAAAAATTGGCAGCACAAGTTTTTAATCTCTGAGATAAAGGAACCTCTTAAAGTAATAGCTCACATTAGGGGACAATTTACAAGCTACAATGCAGAAAGTTGGCACCTAAGCAGAGCATGAGGTTCCACTGAACTAAGGAGGCAAGATCAGTTTGGTAGTCCAAGCAGCTGAAATCTGCAGTTCAGGGAATATGAGAAAAGGGAGCTCATAGCCCCAGAAAACTAAGAGGAGTTACTTCAAAAGTTCTAGGTTGAGGGATGAATTTAACTTGCAGAATAAGACCAACTGAGACTTACCTGTCAGCTTCTGCTATGGGATTGGGAGCAAAACAGACACTGAATATCAAGCAGTGCAAAGTGTCATTGGAGTTCTAATCTTCAAGAGTAGAGACTTAAAAAAAATATATGCAAAAGTTTCTAGGTTTGGCAGGAGGTTTTGCAGGAACTCAACTGTTATAGTACCAGTCCTGTGAGACAGCATGCTCATATAATACCAGGTAACACAAACTTATCACTCATGGATAAGCATCAAGATCAAGCAGAAGCCTGGGATCCATGGTGATCCATGTCCTCCAAAGCTCAGAATAGCTGTTCCAGAGTTATCTACGCATGCCATACTTCGCACTTCAGTTGGCCCCAGAATCATTCTATTGAGTTTATATAGACATTACTTGGCTCCCTGAGTATTGTAGCATTCTTTGTATGTTATGCCTAAAAACAGATCTGACCTCCTGCAGTCAGTACTTCTGGAAACCAGCTGATTCACCAAAAAGGCTGTACTTTAGCAGTACAGACCATGCCCTAAAGTAAGGTCTATACTGGACTCACCTTGACAAAGTCTCTAACAAAGTTTGATAAAACCCATATGGAAGATAGGTTTTTGTAGGGTGAGTCCCAAGAAGTTAGAGGGGTTCTAGAAACATCTCGGGCATTCCACATTATCTGCAGTAACAAAGTATAACACAGATTTGACAAAAAAAGGTTTAACTTTATTATCCCTTAAGGTACAAATTTAAGGTATCACTATCCCTTCAATATTCAGATTTAAGGTAATCAACAAGTAATTAAACTGCCTGATAAAGTGAGAATCAACACTTTTAAAAGACAGATAATAGAATCATATTATACAATGAGTTATTATAAATGTTCATAACTCAATTAAAAGAATCAATAGATATACAAAGAAGTAGGAGAGCACACCCACAGTCACAAAAGCATGTAGTTAGTAGAAACAGAACTTTGGTACAGATGTTGGACATAACATAAAATTACTTAGAAACAGCTACTATAAATGTGTTTCAGGAATTAAAGGAAAATATGTTCAAAACGGAAAGGAAAAGGGAGGGGAGGTCCTAGTGAATGAAAAACCAGGGCATCTCAATAAACACATAGAAACTTTAAAAAAAAAAGAACCAAATGAAATTTTAGAACTAAGTAATGTTAAATGAAATGGAAATTCAGTGGAGGGATTTAATAATAGTTTGGAGATATCAGAATAAAGAGTCATGTTGAGGACAGATTAGTAGAATTATATCATTTGAAGATTCTAAGGAAAACATATTGAAGAAAAATGAAGGGAACACTGGTAAAAACAGATGATCTAATAGATGCCCTTATTTGATTAGGCACATCCCTGGTAAAATATAGATTCCAAAAATTAGGAAAAAGCACTAAAAGAGAATTAGAGGTAGGGTTTTCTTGTGAATATAGATGTAAAAATTATATAAAATATTAGCCAACATAATGTAAAATCATGTTTACAAAATAAAATAGTATAAAATTAGAAGAAAGGTAAACCATTAGGAAAATCTCTCAATGCAATTCCCTGATAGGCTAAAACTGAAAGCTCCTATGATTATCTTAATTGGTATAGAAAGGGCACTTGCCACCTCCACTTGAGTATTTTGAAGCAAATCCCATTTCATCCATAAATAATTCAATGTATATTACTTTCTAAAACATCAGGAATATTTTATTTAGGTTATGTATTCTTTTTATAATTTATATGTTGGGAAAAAAACATATTGTGTTTGTTTTGTGGCTTCCATCCCTACAGTTTTGTCTAAGAAGTTACTGTGAATCTTGTATTCTGTGTACATTGGTGATTGATTTGGATGCTTGGTCAGATTCTAGCTTGATTTGGGGGCATAAATTAATGATAGTTTTGTGTACTCCTAATTGCATCACCTCAGAAGGAACATTCTACTAACTGGCTCTTTTTTTTGGGTGAGATTAACGTCAAGTGGTATGTTTGAGTGTGGACACCCTGATCTAGTCATTGCACCATTCCTCATCAGTTTTTCAACAATGGTTTTAGCAGACATGGATGCTCTATTCTTCATTCCTATTTACTTACACCTGGGATTTTCTTTTCCTTTTTATTAGAGCACAGTTAAACATAGCAGTTGAGTTAATTTTGACAAAATCACACATGCATGCAATTTGGTTTCAATCTCAGTTCTTCCCTTTTTCTCTCCTACCTTCCCCTATTCTCTTCCCTCTACTTTACAGATCTTCTTTATGTATTTTTGATTAGTACTTTATATACAAAGGTGAAATTCCCTGTGATATATTTGTATATACAAATAAGGTGATTTTGTTAAATTCCTTACATATTTCCTCCCTTTTCTTGTCCTCCCTCCCTCACTCTTCATCTCCTATTTACTTCCCCAAATATTCCCTATAATTTTATTTTATCTGATTGCTGCCCACTGCCTCTGCCTTCTTTTCATTTTGTCGTAGTTTCCACATATTTGAGAAAACATTCAACCCTCGATTTTGTGAGTTTAGCTTATTTCACTTAGATTATGTAACTTAGATGTTCTCCAGTTCCAGCCTTTTATTGGCAAATCCCATTATTTCCTTCTTCTTAATGGCTGAGTAAAATGCCATTGTGTATACAGCACATTTTCTTGATCCATTCAGACGAATGGATTGAAAGGCAACTGGGATGATTTCATAATTGTGTTATCCTGAACTATTCTGCTGCAAACATTGAAATTGCTTTATCACTGTAGTATGCTATTTAAGTTTTTTGATAAGTACCAAGGAATAGGATAGTTTGGTCATATGGTGGTTCCATTCTTAGTTTTTTGTAGAAACTCCATACTTCTTTCCAGAGTTATTATACTAATCTGCAGTCCCTACCTTTTCTGCTACCTCCTTCCCAACATGTATTATTATTATTTATATTCTTGGTAATTACCATTCTGACTGGAGTGATATGAAATTGTAGTGTAGATTTGATTTGCATTTCCTTGATTGCTAGAGATGTTGAACATTTGCTCATGTATTATTATTATTTTTTGACTATCTCTATTTCTTCTTTTGAGAAATATATGCTTAGTTCTTTGGCCCATGTAAATTTTTTGGGGGGAGGCATTAAGATTTTTTTTATTCTTTATATATTCTGGATATTTATCCCCTGTCAAAAGAGTAGATTTTCTTCTGTTCTGTAGGCTCTCTTTTTACACTCTTAATCATTTCCTTTGCTGTGCAGAAAGAAAATTTTCAATTTGATGACATCCCACTTATTGATTCTTGGTTTCGTTTCTTCATCTCTTAGGATTCTTGTGAGGAAATCTGTTTCTGCACCTGCATGATGGAGTGTTGAGACAGTGTTTATAAAGGTTCTGGTCTAATTCCTAAGTCTTTGATCCATTTTGATTCAACATTTGTGCAGGGTGAGAAGCATCTAATTTATATATTCTTCTACATATATCTAGTTTTCCCAGCACCATTTATTAAAATGGCTATCTTTCCTTCAACATTTTTTTATACATTTTTTTGCACCTTTGTCAATTATCAGATGGCTGTAAGTAGGGATGTTTGTTTCTGTGTCTGCTACTCTATTCAATTGGTATTTGTGTCTATTTTAATGGCAATACCATGTTATTTTGTTACTATAGTAGTATAGTGTAATTTAATATTTGGTGTTGTGCTGCCTTCTGAATCGCTCTTGCTCAGTGGCTGGGAATTGTCTATAAAGAAATTTCATTGGACAACTCTCTGCTCTCCCTTGGGTACAGTTCAAACAAGATTCTCAAGTAAGATGCTTAATTCTTCTTGTTTTTGAATAAGATCCAGAATTATTTGGTTCTTAAAGTCATTCAAAGCTGACCAATATCTTTTCTCCCCTTTGAGTAAAATCACCAACTTAGGAATGTTCAATGATTCCCCCAAAAATGTTCATGTCCTACATGGACATGGAATTTATGAATGTTTATCTCTGGAATTTCCATCTCTGAATGTTTATTTACATACCAAAGGGAGAATTAAGGTTACAGACAGAATTGATGTTGGTAATCAGCTGACTTAAATGGGAAGATTATTCTGGTTATCTAGGTGTGCTGAAGTAACCACAGGGTCCTTAAAAGTAGAAGAGGGAGGTAGGAAGTAGGTCAGAGTGATGCAATGTGAGAAAGACCTGATTTGCAATTGTGACTTAGAAAACAAGGGACAGTGATCTGAGGAATGCTGGTATCTTCTAGAAGCTGAAAAAGGCAAGGGAATGTATTCTCCAGCCTCCTGGAAGGAACCTACTGATCCTTTGATTTTGGTCCAGCAACCCCTGTGTCAGTCTTGTGACCTATAGAACTGTAACATCATAAATTTATATTGTCTTCAAACCAGCATGTTTGTGATAATTTGTTATGGCAGCAACAGGAAGTCAGTATAGTGCTATCGTTTCTGTGAGAAAACAGACAATAACAAAGGAACAAATAGAGAAACTATTCCATTCAGTAAGAGTATAACATATTTTCCAGATCAACCCATGAAGATAACATTTCTGCACAGTTTCAATAATAGACTAGTAAACATAAGGAAAACTTGAGATGCTATCCTTGATAGTATAAAGAAAAATTATAGTTAAATATCTGGAAAATATCTAAAAATTAAATAAGATTCCAATGGAGAAAACTTGAAAAACATAGTAAAGAACGTAGACCATGATCTGATAAATGAAGACACATTCCATGCTCTTGGATGGGATGATGAGTATTACAAAGATGTTGACTACTTGAAGTAATCTGTCTGTTTCACTATCAGTTCCAACAGGACTGTGTAAGGAACATGATACAATTATTCTATAAAAAGAAGCAATGAAGGATCCCGGCTAAGTCTATGTCATAAACAAGTAAACTTGCCAAATATGGCATCAGGAAGATACAGTAAAAAAGCAGTGTGGTACTGTTGCAAAAATAGACAAACAGAACACTGGAAGAGAATAGAAAGCCTCAAGATGAAACTTTGGGTAACTAATGTATGATAAAGGTGGAATTACACACCAATGAGGGGGAGGCCTGAAATGTTTAATAGATACTGCTGGAAAATTTAACTGGGTTGGGGGAGAAACTGGTGAATTATTATTTAATATCACTTACAATCTTGATAAACTATCAAAATTTGAAAGGTAAAACAATAATGCTAATAGAAAAAAATACGGGAAATATATTTGTTACCTAGGAATGAAGAAAATTTTTTAAAATGTCAGAAAAAAATATAAGAAAAAAGATTGATTAATTTATATTGAAATCATGTATTTCTATTAATTAAGTACACATTGAACAATGTTTATAAATAGATGAAAAAGGAAGAAAATATATGCAATATAGCAAACTGAATTAGTGTAGTAATTAATATTTAGAATATACAGAACTCCTGTAAGAAAGACAAAAATCCCAGTGGAAAGATGGGCAAAGGACATGAGCAGACAATTTACAGTAAAGAAAGCAGAAAATCTTATAAGCATATAAAGATGTGCTCAGACTCATCAGTAACCTGAGAAAATCAATAGTGAGAATGTAGTTCATATCTGGGCAATAAAAAAGCTTAATCATGCTGAGGTTGGGAAGAATGTGGGGCCATATTAGCCCTCAAAACATTGATGGGAGGAGGGTACACCGCTATAGTACTATGGATAGAAATTTAGAATTATTTGGTCAAACTGAGAAAATTCATATACTACTATAGGTAAAATTAAAAGATCAAGCACAAAAAGGAAGGATACTTGTACCATATAAGATAGATGAAGAATTATTATCTAAACATAAAGAAGTGCTGTCAAAAAATAGAAATTGAAAAAATGGTTTAGAAAACTACTAAGCAGTTCATAAAGAGAAATTAAAATGCTAATGAAACCAAGCAAAGGTGCTCAACCTCAATAGTAATCAGAGATACCAAATAAAATCACAATGAGAAACCTACATTACACATATTCAAACATACAAAAATTAAAAATCCAAACAACATAAACATTGGCAAGGAAGTAGAAAAGTAAGAACTCATATATTTCTGGCAGAAACATAAATTGATACTAGCATGGAAAATGATGTAGCATTACCTATAAAGCCCACATGTGCAGAACCTAATATCCAGTCAATCTACTCCTACTCCAGTACACAGTGCAATAGACATGTACTGGAATGTTCATAATGACATTGTTAATTGCTAAAATTGGAAACAGTACAAATGACCATCAAAAGCAGAAAAGATAAATTATTACATATTTCTAAATCAGAGTATTGCCCACAAATGGAACAAACTTTAGCCACACAACATCAACATTGGATGAATAGAAAAGAGACAGTATTAATTCCATTTAAATAAGGTCAATAGCAGAACACATTGAATGTGTCTTATTTGGAAGTTCATAACTTGAAAGCACGGGAAATACTGTAACAAAAAGTCAATGTAGTGGTTATTTTCAGGGCAAGGAAGACAATACACTGTTAGGGCATTTTTAAAGGGTTGAATTATTTTAACCAAATTAGAGGAAGAGCTTCCTTTCAGAGCAGTGTTAAGCACAGTTAATGTTATATTTCTTAACTGGGTGCTAGTCGCACAGGTATTGCTGCTTTCATTAACATTTTTAATACAAATCTGTATGTATAACTTAATTTGCAATGAAAATTATTTTTAACATGATTGGATTAGACAATCTCTAGTTTTTTTTTTAAATCTTTGATACACTGTGGCAAAACCCTTCCCAAGTGGATGTATTGTTATCTCCTCAATTTAAGCGGTATGCACTGAGATATATACTGGTGAGTTAGAAAACTCTGAGAAAAAAAAAAATTTGAATTGAAGTAACAAAGAATCAGAAGATGGGAGACCAGGAAGAAGATCGTGATGATTCAAGCCCCTCTTCGCAGAAAGGCAACTGGGGTTTAACTTGAGAGTCCCCAGGTTTCAATCTCAGTTCTGCTTTGGGTTGGGCAGATCTCTGATCCTCAGTTCTTCATGCGGCTTTGAAAACTGTACCCTGAGATTCAAGTAGGAGGACTAATGATTATTATTTTACAGTTGGGGAAACTGAGGCCACAAGGGTCGCCATTAGCTCAAGTTGCCATCACCAGGTTGGAACTCGGGGCTTCTGAGGCCAACTCCCTGACCTCTGCACTGCCCCAGGGTCTAAGCTGCTCTCTCCTTGCGCTGCCTGTGAGCCCACCGCTTGACGTCACAGAAGAACGCCCGGCCCCGCCCCCCGCCCCTTCGGAAGCCCCGCCTCCTCTTGGCCACGCCCCGTCCGGCTTTCGCTAAGCCCCGCCCCGGCCGCTCGTCCTCGCGCGTCCCCGTCCGGCTTCTCTTCCGGCCCCACCCTCCCGGCTGCCATGACAACGAGTCCGCGCCCCGCGCTCTGCTGCTACTCGGGCGGGACCCAGGCTGGACCGCGGGCCCCGGCCTGGGGGCCACAGCTGCCACCGCCGCCGCCACCTCGTCTCCTCCCCGTCCCCGTCCCGCCCCGCGTCTCCCCGCCTCATTCGGGCCCGTGGCCGGGGTCCCTCCCCGCCGCCCGATCCCGGGCAGATGCCGAAGGTAAAGGCGCTGCAATGCGCCCTGGCGCTGGAGATCCGCTCAGTGAGTACGGTGGAACCCCCTCTTCCCCCGCAGCAGCTGACTCAGATTTGCCTCCCTCCCATCACCTCCGAGAGCCCGGAATCCCTCAAAGTCTCCTTCACCCTCCGGTTCATCGCCGGGGAGCCGGACCCCCACGTCACTTCGGTCCTCCGCCACCTCGAAGTCCTGAACACCCTCCCACTCCCGACAACGCCGAGGCCTTGACGCCCACCTCAGTTTTTCTGGTTTTATCCCAGCTTCCAGTTGGGTTGCTTTCAAATCATTTCCCAACTCTCCAGAGTTCCTCACTTTCCTCCAACTTTCCAGTGAGTTGGGAGCGGTGGTGTTCTTTTCAAACGCTCCTTTGCTTCTCCTGTTGGCTTAGTGACAAAGTATTACTGTCCCTGGTCCCGGGCCTGGGGTGCGTGTGGCATTTCCTCCCAAATTGCTGCAGGCACACCCTTTTAGACACGGTTCCAGGCTTCCCGTTAGTGACGACGGGGGCCTTTATTCTCAGTCATAGGGCGGATTCCCCACGTCCAACAAGTGAAATGTGGCATTGTTACACAAGGTGCCTTGCTGTCTCCTCCGGAGGCCACACCCGAGAAACCCAACTCCTCAGAAATTAGTTCAGGCCTCTGGAGTCTCCAGACTCCCGACTTTGCGAGGAATCCCTTCTCATCCTCCCGGTTGTTTCACAAAAGTCTCTTTAGCTTTTAGAAGGGAACTCCTCGTTCTCCAAACTTGCGATGCCACCACCCAGTCATCTCCAGACTTACTGAAAAGTACCTTTTCCCCAGCCTCCTGTGGCAATCCAGCTGAGGCAGAGAGCCTCCATGTATGAGAAAACTTCATCCAATTTGATAGCTGCAGATCCTTCCAAGGGGTTTTAAATTCCTTCCCTTGCGTTTGCTAGAGAACCTTCTAATTTTCCTCTTTAGACAAAGCTCAAACCTATTTTTTCTAGAGGAAATCTTCCCAAGAGCCCTTCACTCCCCGCTCTAGTTCTGTAGATACAGAGCTTTAAACAGTTTGGAACAAATTCCATTTCTTCTTCTTACTTAAATATTCACCACCACTTCCCTGGGTGCTGCCCCAGGGGCCCATCTGCAGTTCCTTCCTGCATGCCCTACAGGCAGTTTTTTCTTCACTTAACCTGAGCTTCAAGATGCCTCTCTTTCTTCCATATCCTTCTTCACTTTGAATGAGGTTGCTGCTGCAGGAATCTTAAAACCTGCAGAAAAGTCACAGAACTGTTTTAGATCTTTTGTTAGGTCTTTAAAAAAGAAGCTTGTTGGGGGCGCAAAATAGGAAGGAAATTTCTGGGGCTTTTGTTTTCTGTTCAAGCCTGCAGCAGGTTTACTGCTATCATTAGCATTATATGTTTGCATCTCAAGCTGATTATTTGATTTATTTTTTTGTAAAGTAAGTAGTTTTGCAGAAGAATACATGAAGCTTCTTAAACCTCTTGTTCTGGGCAGTTAGTAAAACTCAATATGACTTTGTTATTGGCTACTTCTTCCCCACTTTGTAACCAATGGATTTAGCAGCCTGGGCATACAGCTGTCTGACAGGCTAGCTGCCACTTCACTCAATTGCCAATACAAACTTGCTAAGAGGAAGTACTCTGCTGCAACTGACTATAACCTGAAGGAGTCAGAAAAAATACATTTTATCTCACTATTTTGACTTCTCTGTATTAGTTGTACCACAGAAAATAAATAATGTATATTGGGGCTTTGTTATTCATCAAAGCTAAAGAAAACTATGTAAGTGAAATATTCTTATTTTAAAAAATAAACATATGAGCTACAGAATTTTATAGTTCTAAGAAGTCTTTGCATGTAGTCCCTTTTACAGGTGAGAAAATCGAGGCTAAATTGCTTGTGCAGGGTTGCACAACTATTTTAGGGGAAGATCTGCAACAAGATGCCAAGTTTTCTTTCCAGTAGAAACCTTTTAAATATGGCTGATTCTCAGAAGGAGCAAAAGACTATTAGCAATCATATAATTAAACAAGTTTGATTAATTTGACTTTTATTGTATAGAGGAATCATATGACTAGAGATATTTTAAACATCTTTATGATTATAGTTTTTCTTTTTCAATTTTTTATCTTTACATGACAGAACTATAAAATTCAGAACTATAAAATGATATACTGAGGGAAGTTTTACTTCCAGTCTCTCTGTCTCCTATCTGATAAAAAGTAACCATTTTTATTGTTTGTGGTATAAACTGATATACACATACTCCCTCTTTTCTTAACTTTCCTTCTATTCTTAGATAATAGGCAGTATATTACATAAACTCTTCTTTATGTTGATTTTTTTGTCTTCATTTAATATATCTTGGAGATCACCCTGTATCTATGAAAATTGATCTTTCTCCCAAGTTTTTAAGTGAAAATTTTCAGACCTGGAGTTTGAAGAATCATTCAATGAATAACTTGTATCCCATGACCTATGTACATTTATTTGATTTCACTGTATATGTGCATAAAAATAAAATATTTCTTGCTGAAAATTTCAAAGCAAATTGTTTTCATCATGATGCTCCACTCTTAGATACTGCAGTATTATCACACAAATAGCAATTAATGATAATTTCCTAATATCTAATCCATGTTCAGGTTTTCTGTATTCTCAAAAGAATAACTTTATAGTGAATTTTTTTCAAACTAAGATCCAAAGTTTACATGTGAATTTGACAATGTGTTAGTTCTTTATTAATCATTTTAATATAGAGCAGTTCTATTTTTTCCATTTCCATGATGTTACTTATTTACAGTGAATTTAGATATATTCATGCATTTGAGATTTAGAACCCTTCCATCACACCACAAACTTCCCTCATGCTCCTTTCAAGCCACATGCAAAAAGAACCACTATTCTGATTTCTTTTACTCTAGATTAGTTTGCCAGTTCTTGAACTTAGTAGTTGAAGTGTGTAGTTTTCAGTATTTGTATCTGCCCAGCATGGTTTTGAGGTTCAACTGTTATGTACATCTCTGATTTATTCCTCTGAATTGTATTCTCTTGCATGTGTACATTAACCCATTCTTTTTTAATGGACAAATAAAAATGGACATATTCAGTGTATAAAATGATGTTTTCACATATGTATACATTATGAAATGATTAAAGATAATTAGAATACCCATTGTCTCACATACTTTTTTTGTATGTCATCTTAAGTAGATCTTAAGATCTATTTTCTTTGGATTTTTAAAGTATATAATCCATTATTATTAACTATAATCCTATGTTATACAATATATCTTCAGAGTTTATTAACCTTAGCAGAAACTTTGCATCCCAACATCTCCTCATTTCTTATACCACTTACCAGACCCTGATAACCACCATTCTACACTCTGCTCTCAAGAGTTTGAATGTTTTTAGATTTAAATTCTGGTATAAATGAAATAATGCACTGTTTGTTTTTCTGTACCTGGCTTATTTTATTTAGCATACAATTATTTTACTTAGTCCTTTAGATTTATGCATGTTGTTGCAAATGACAGGATCTCCTTTTTTGTTTTTTTAAGGTTCAACAGTGGTTTGGGCAAAAAATATATGCCACATTTTTAAAAAATCCATTCATCCACTGGTGGAAAATTAAGCTGATTCTGCATCTTAACTATTGGAAATAATGCAGCAATGAATTTGGGCCTGCAGATACCTTTTCTACACTCTTCCTTTCAAAGGAAATGATTTGATTTCCTTTGGATGTATAGAGAGAAGTATAATTGCATGATCATATGGTAGTTCTATTTTTAATTATTTAAAGAAACCCCATATGTTTTTTTTGTAATGGCTATACTAATTTATATTTCCACCAACCTAATGCAAGGGTTTCCTTTTCTCCACACTCTTTGCCAATAAGCATTTTGTTCTTCATTGCTATCTTTTGTCTTTTTGATAATAGCCATTCTAACTGTGAGGTGATATCTTAGTGTGGTTTTGATTTGCATTTCTTTGATTAGAGATGGGAGCACCTTTTAATATTCCTGTTGGCCATTTGTGTGTCTTTCTTTTGAGAAATGTCTATTCAGGCCCTTTACCCATTTTTAAATCAGGTTTTTGTGTTCTTGCTATTGAGTTCTTTTGATCCATGTGTGCTTTGGAATGAACTCTTCATCAGATAAAGGATTTGGAAATTCTTTTTCCATTCCAGAGGTTGTCTCTTTACTCAGTTGATTGCTTCCTTTGTCGTGAAGAAGCTTTTTAGTTTGATGCTATCCATTGTATTTGAGTTGTTTCCAGGTTGCAATTGTCATGGATAAAGCTACTCTGAGCATTCATTCTTATAAAAATCTTTTTATGGACATTATCTTTTGAAGAGACCAGGCTAAGATATAGAATATCTCATGTTGTGTTAGTGCCTGATTTTTTTTCTTTTGTGGTTAAATATAACTTTTTCCCAATACCTATAAATTGGAAATTAAATGTTCTGTTTCTTCTTGTCTGTTGCAAGTGTAACCTTTCTCCTCCCTTACGTGTTTTGTTGCTGTTGATGTTATCTTACATTAGTAGTAATCTCATATTGTAATATGTGTTATAATATCTAATATGAGAGCAGTAAATATGAAAGGTTTGGATGTATTATCAGCATTTTGTGTTGCTGAACAGAACCACCTGACTTGAGGGAAAATATATTGCTGGGAGAAAAGTGTGACTTTTCTCAATGACTCTTTAGAGAATAATAAGATATGCCAAGTAATTTATTTTTAAAGAGTATCAAAAGAATTATATTTCCCAATAATTAATATTTTTTTCAATAAATATTTTTAATATTTGAAATATATTATCTTTCATTGGAAGAAGTACTTTTTTGCTGCTTTCTCTCTTTACCTTGTTGCTCCTTTTATTTAGGGTATCAGTTTCTCTGAGATTATTTGGGAAAATAGAAGGGATAAATGGAAGTAAAGCTCAATGCCAATGTTGAGGCAGTGAAACCAGTCCATTTTCTATGCTATATATGAATGTCAGTTTGGAATTAAATAATTCCTTCCTTCCTTCCTTCCTTTCTTCCTTCCTTCCTTCCTGCATGCCTACTTTACCACATTATCTAACTCAAATTAATGATAGCATTGAGGCAAATAGACAGGGGTCCTCTTCTGTCACTACTCTTCTGAACACTTGTTCATCTTTATGATCCTTTCTCAGGATATACTGTGCAGTAGTATCTCAATCACATCATGCTATATAGTTGGTGGCAAATTTTCCTGGAATGTAGATTTAGAAACTTTTTAAATTAGAAAATACTTAGGATTTACATAAAAAAATAGAAATACTGAACACTATGGCCTACCCGCATTTAACAATGATGCATTTTATGTTGGGTGCACGTTTTTGTTTTTAAGAAATAAAATTTACAGATATAATTGAGGCCTCTTTTATACCTCTTTCTGACCCCATTTTCCTTTCTCCCTTCCTAGAGTTAGGGTATAATCAAATATTCTGAAGTTGGAGCATTTTATTCTTCATTCAGGCTTTTGTACTTTTACTACATATTTGTGTGTCTATATACTATCTTTCCTATTGTTTTGTTTGTTTAAACATTTTCCACCAACAGTTTCTTACTGTAGGCAGCTTGCTTTTTCTACTTTGTTATTTTTGAGATTTGTTAGTATTGATTTTTGCAGATCTAGTTCATTTTTGTTTTCCTATGATAGACTGTGTGTGTGTGTGTGTGTGTGTGTGTGTGTGTGTGTGTGTGTGTGTGTATGTGGTACTGGGGATTGAATCCAGGGGTGCTGTGCCACTAAGATACATCCCCAGACCTTTTCAACTTTTTTAAGTTTGAGACAGGATCTTGCTAAGTGCCAAGGCTGGTCTCTAACTTGCAACCCTTCTCAGTCTCCCAAATTGCTGGGATTATAGGCATGCATCTCTGCACCTGTTTCTATTGATTGGCTTTAAATACCAGTAGTTTCCCCTTTTTTATTTTATAATGTTCCAGTGAGTGTATTTGTAAGTATCTCCTAATGTCCATATTGGTTGTTCTCAAGGGTGTATATGTGCTGTTGGGAGAATTTTAGACATTTATTGACACCCATTGTTTGTCATAGTGCTTGGGAAGTCCTGTTAGTATTAATTGTATTGTATTATGCGTGACTTGGTTTCCCTCTTAATACAGTAGTCTCCCCTTATTGGCAGAAGATATGTTCTATGACCCCCCATTGGATGCCTGAAATTGCAGATAGTACCAAAACCTATAATCGAATGTCTTTTCAATCTTAACTAAACCCTTATCATGGACTGTGTTTGAAGCTTTTGCAGTTTGAACTGCAACTACAAAACTAGAACAAATTTCTTTTTCCTTCTTCACAATTTCACAGATAAAAGATTTATTCTTACCATGGATATTAGCAACCTTAGCAGACAATTTTGTTCTTATTGAGTCAGGAACTTTTACCTTTTCATTTAAAGAAATTACATTATGGCTTTTCTTTGGCATATTTG